AAACAGCCGGGCAACCTAGAAGCTAACCAGCCAGCTAGTGACCGGTCGGGTAGTTCGACACATATTTCGACCTCTATCATAACGCACACATCATATTCCATTGCGAACAGTCATTCGTGCGTGTCTGGACGACTTCATCGGTCACATGGATTCGGGAATGAACGAGTGGGTCGCCTGAAATCCTGACCCGTACACACACACACACACATTCAGCAGCCGGTCGGAACGGTGATGCTCGGTCAATCCATAAAGACCCTGTCGTCATCCCCGTCGATTGTGAGCGGGGACCAGAGAGAGAGAGAGAGGGAGTTGTTTCGCTTGTCAAACTGACGACGCTACGTGGTGGATAGGCGATTGTACGAAAACTGGACAGATACGATTCGCCGTATGGATGGATCACGCTGGACAAGGTGACAGGTAAGTAAGTAGCAATAGAACGAAAAGTGGTGATGGTGATTCCCCGCAAAACCCGGTAGCATTATTGGACAGGTAGTGCGAGTGATTTCATCCGTTCCGAATAAACTAGGAGAACGAAATAAGAATTCGGTTAACGAGATATAACGGGGTTCCAGGACACGCACAGACACACATGCGGCCAAGATGGAGCCCTGAGTGGGGAACGTAAACTACACTACTCTCTTGGGAACGGTAAAAAATAATAATAAATTGCAAACTGGTGATTGCTGCAATCTCGTTTCTTTATCATTGGAATCAAAATTTAACCGATAACAACGATTTGCTATTTGGGGCTCACAGAACACGAAACACGGCGTCAAACGAATACCGGTCAGCGTCACGCACAACCGGTAGATTTGGAAAGCATCAGACCCGAATCTCGCTCTGTCTCACACCGCTAGTGAGAGATCTAATGAAAGCGGATCTCAAGTCTGGTGCATAGTTCGGAGCGTGCGGTCGACTGATTTTGAGCGGTGTGTGTGTGTGTATGTGTGTGTGTGTAAGCAAGCCAGAATGGGGCCATCAGAACCCCTCCCCCCCCGGTGAAGATGACGGGTTCCCTTTATCCATCACACACCAAGACCGAAAGAATACACCTATGGCGAGATGAACTGCACATTCTCAGCTACTCAACTTCAACCTATAGCTTCTAATCGTGGGATGTATTTGGACAAACCGGTGCATGGTTGGAAATCCTGATCCGTCTAAAACATTGTATACCACTTCACCTGCAGTTGGGATGATGCAGAATCAACCGTCAAACATCGGGACAAATGGTCGAACACTCTTTAAAATGGCTGATGAAGTCAATGACGTAACCCACACCCGATAGTCAGGAGGTCACAAAGAACCTGGGATCATGCATTGCAAAACACGACGCGACAACCAAACACAATTGATCGTGCCAACATGCAATTGGTGGGATGTTATTAATTATCATCCCATTTTATACACCCATCAAAAGTTGGTTGCTGACGCAATCAGTTCATTTGCAGCGGTGTTGTTCGAAATTTTAATAGCACCTGCAATTTGCACACACGTTCGTTCATTAGGATTTGCCAACCCAAAACGGGTTTGTTTGCTGTATGTTGGCGATTGAGAAGATTAAACGAAATGTGAACGTGTTGCACCATGTGTCCTCGTTTGGTCTTCACTCGGTGAAAATGTTCGATACACACAGACACAGGTGGTTGAATAAAGAAATGAGAATTCCACTCTATGGGGGGAGAGGAATTCACTGTCAAGAACTGATCGAGGTACAACGGGGAGACGCAACCATAACGGTACTCAATTGACTTCTATTCGGCTCAGAATGAGCGTGAAAAAGTAACAAATTATTTGTCAAGTTCTCTGGATGTGAAAAGACCTAAGAATTAGACGTTTGAAAATGGAAAACATTGGACATATGTGGGTCTATGCGCTCAGGTAGACAAAGCAACAGAAATCATTCGGTATATAGCCCCGGTTAAGTAGGTAAATAAGCACACAGTGAAATAGACAGCAGGTTTATTGAAGCAGACCGGTGAGTAACATGGAACGGGAAACACGTAGGCAGGCAGGAAGGCAAGCCGATAGCTGGCTCAAGAGCCACACGACATCCAAACACGGTCAAGAGGGCATTGAGACAGTCAACAAATAATCCATCAGCGTGACTGGTGCCGATCGATATTGTAATGGAATCAGTCAGTTCCCATGACGGGAGTGCATGCGTGTGTGTGTGTGGTAGCAAGCAGTATCTGTCATTCAATCTGGCCACAGGCGTGCATGACAAACGTATCAGTCAATTATAAGCCACAATATTCATCATCTTCCCGGGGTAGTTGGTATTCTTCTGTGAGTAGCTAGCGGAAGGCTACAACGAAGGATATTTTCGGGCTATGGCGAATTCGCTCCTCAACGTAGTCAACCTAATTTTACCGGTTCAAGATTAAGATTAAAAAGAGTGTGGAACAATTGTGGTCTGAATGCACGATGGATGGTAAAAATTCTTTAGATGACTGACTGCTATTGAAAAGCGAACCTTGAGTAGACCATGGATCGGTATCATAACACAGTAGTTTTGTGTCGAGCGCTAAAGTTTCAGAGACAAATGATGGACGGATAAGACAATCTGGACATTGAAGGCATATNCATATAGTTACAGAAGCGGAACGAGTATATCAAGGTGCCGTATGCGTGTGTGCGGGGGAGGGGAGAGCAGAGTTATTGATTTGATTCGAAGAGTGCGACGGTTTCCATGAACGAAGTATACCAAGATATTTATTGAACAGTTAAAGACGCAGATAAAACAGAGACCAATCTTTGCCTTCGGGGATAACGCCACAGCAAAAGGATACAAACAGTATTATCACGTTCTCCGCACACTACGGCCTGCATATTTGGATGTAATCTTCAATCATAACTTCACCTGGTCGGATAATGTCACAAACGAGTCTCAGAGGGCGAGAAGGCTAACATTGTATGTTTCGCAACATTAGGCAGTTCTTATCCCCATTTACCTCACAAGGAGTCTTGTTCTGGCCTGCGAGTGGCTCTATGTAATGCTCATCTGTTCATACAACCAGAACGTCAAAATCGGAACCCAGAGTGCTCGAGCTACTCCCACTAGAATTTATAAGCATATCTCTATTGAAACGTGCCAGCATTCTGCACACCAAAGCCGTAAATTTTGTAAAAAAATTCTTATAATAAAGTTTGTCTCAACTCTTACATGTCGATCTTAGTACATGTTCATTTGAACTGATTTTCCTTCAGACGGTCAGGCAAAATCCACAGTTCATCCAGTGAACCATACACACTAGGAAGCGCTAAACCGTCGAGTTAAGCAGAGTTGAATGCGGCGTGGGGATGGGGAACACCAACACGTATTACAAACAAAATAATTTTCCAGTTTGTCACGACGATTCGTTGAGATTTAGGTGGGACAGATTTTTTCATTTCATCCATATCTCTTTGACATTCATCAAGCAACACACACCCTGAACGAACTGACAGATTTTTTTTCAGGAGCCAGAACAACGAGATGTCGGCCCCACAAGCAAATAGTCAACCTATCAGGTCATTCGATGGGATGGATTAAAAGTGTGACCGAATCACGTTTTTGGAAGGGAACTGGGCTACCATCAGTAGGAAGTTCTTGATAGTCATGGCTGCGGAGCGGTAACTGGTTGCTCTCATTATGAAAGGTAAATTTGGAAATAGTCGTTATTTGGTTTGACGATGGAGTCACGAAGGGAACGAGGCATTGTGTGAAATTGAACTAAGCCTCCCTGGGATGTGGGTGAACCAGGAGAAAGTGAACGTCAGTAAGACTGCTTTTAGCCGATAACGCATTCCAGAATGCGTCCAGCCGGATTCAATCCGTACCGGATATCATCGTAGCTTGTGAGTCCAAAAAGAATCTATGCGGCTACGCTTCTGAAGCCGAAAAACAAACGTCAGCTATCAGTGCGATACATATCGAAGACGAGTTCGAAAAGCGCCCCATGAACTCACCACTGCGGCAAAGGAGTGCCATGGTGCATTCCTCGACAAAGACACCTACCTAAATCGTTAGTTGAACTGTGTTGCCCAATGAAAATGAATCTAAAGTGTGTATAACTCTTCGCAATGTGATGACAATTCTCAAAAATCCATTCACTGTTACGGAGAAGGAACAGATTTCGAGTCCTTGTGTACGACTGCTCGATACGCGTTATTCTGAATTCGCGTCTTGCGAGAGAGGTTGAGGTGCATACGTCATATGTTTGTGAACGAGGGAGGGAGGGCGAATTACATTTATTTTCATTTACATTTGGGTTTTATGCTTGTACTGAATATGAGGGACAGGGAGAGTTGGCAGATATTCTCTTTTATTTCATTGTCAGAATGCAGACGAACAACAAACCGTGATGAGAGCTTCCAGATTATTCCGCTTCAACCAGTAGTATGATGGATTCAGAGTGGTGTTTCACAATCATACACAATTATTAGACCTGGATTTAAGACGAAAAGAACCTAAATAAATAAGCAACCTAATGTGATCTGAGTTGTGAGTTAGGTGCTTGTGGTCACCTCGACGTTAGTCTTTCTACAGTAACAGTGATACTGTCAAAATCAATTCAAAAGACAAACATTGAGGAGCACAACAAACTACCGAGGAAGAGTGAGATCAAGCTGTTGGTAACGTATTTCTCAAGATTACAGATCAAGCCTTGTCAGCATGCTCCCATGGACAATAAAGATGATTTTACGAATCACTAGTAGACTTTCTATTCAACGAATTTTTCTTCTCTATGTAGACTACATATTGATGGAGTGTCTGAGGATACATTTTGTCTGATTTATGTAATTGTGAACCTGGCTTTCGTTGATGATTCGGCACTTTTATGTATTGGCTGTCTCATTTCAGTAGAGTTCTCATTCTTTGGACTAACAATACTTGCAAAGACGTTCAAAAGTAGCCATACCCACGAATCGCGTTCACGTCAGGCGTTCAGATCACATCGCGAAACGCACAGCCGGTGGTCACGTAACAATCTACACTTCAATTGATGATGGATTCCGAAGCCCCCGGTATGGTCAGGGTGGGTGTCTCGGATTGTGACTGGTCATCATTCCCTTACACCTCGCGAAATGTTCCCATACGACCAAGCGTCTCAAATAGCCTCTGTTAAGGAAGCCCTACTCACTGCCCTTCCGTGGGGCGGAGATGTTTTCCCACCAAAGTGAGAGGACGAAAAGCTGGGTTGGTGAACCGTTGGCAGATCACCTACGGGGGTTAGCCAAAAATCCTGATTCCGAACCAACCTAGAGGAGGCGTACAAACTACACTCAGCCACATCCTCTCCGATGTGGCAGTGGTCACCGGCTCGATTAGGCATTAATGTGTGCTGGGCACCTTTGACGTTTGACCCCGTTCAAAAGGCGTATGATTCAATGAATGGGGACACCGGTCATCGATGGACTGCGGACTCTGGTCTCTGTCCTGTTGCCTTGCAGGCGGGAACTTCGAGGTTATCCTCCTTTCTCGATCAGAGCAACCGGGAAGTAACATACCCACACAATCTATGAACACATTCTGCAGATTTCTTTTTGTTCACATTTGCCACTTCTCTGTAACTGGTCACGTGTTGAAACAAATTTTAAAAAAAATACGGATTCTATCGGACCGAAAACACTCTGGGTTAGATCAGTCTGTAAAAAAAACATTCTGTGAGGTAATTGATGAAATGATTCATTTTGATTCACCAACCCGGTTCTTCATGCACTCACTCACTCACCATTTGGGTTCCTTCGAACAACTGATATCGTCCCGTATCGGGGATGCGTTGGAGCATGAAAAAGCAGCTGTTCAGCGCGATCCCAATCACTTCTATTGTACTGCATGCTGTGAGAGGAGGCAACGTACGGGACGGGTAGGGCGAGTGGGTTAGAAAACGGACGAATTCTCGTCAACCGGGGTGGGGCAAACAGGTGAAGAGATGAAATGGAACAGTCATAGCCAGAATGAATAACTACGAGGACAGGAAATATCAACAACAACAACAACAACAACAACAACCACAACAACAACAACAACGACAAAGAAACTGCAATGCAGCGAGCAGTGCAAACCGAATACAGGTTGTACGTTTCTCGCGACCGAAAACTTTTCCAATCAGAATGATATTCATTCACAACAAGTGATGCCGAGATCACAACGTGGCCCGGTATGAATGTGGTTGGTCATTTACTCGCGTTTTGGAAAGTGAAAACATTAGAACATTCGATAAATATTATCACTTGGTCGCATTAACCAAAAGAACATTTTGTGCATTCAAACTGATATGGCATGAGAATGTCAGACAAGTGTCAGTGACTGCTGGGAAAGATGCATTAATCGTATTCTCCCAATCCAATACAACCTCTAAGAGTTATATTTGGAGACAGAAGAACCCGCACCCGAATATCCACACGCATTCACAAATGACTTGAGCAAGTCAGTAGCCGGGTTTGCACGCACTGCTATCACATGGCATTAGTGCAAAAACGAGGGCACAGTTTTCATGATCGCACCACGTAAAATCGGATAAATGTGGATGTATGCATGGACGAAACGGAGGCCATTGGAAGGCCGAACCGGTCCCATGGATATGGAAACAAGCGGTAGTAGGACTTGGCGTTGCTTTGGTGGCGCAACATGGTGTTCGATTGCTCAGCCGTTCATACACACACACACACACTTGAGTGATGTCTCGAGGTGAACCAACCCACACCTCCATCCTCTCCAATTTTTCAAACACAGGTTGACGTGTTAACGATACGTGATCCTTGATTCATTTCCAAAAGAGTGCATGCATCCACTGCATTTGATTACTCTACAATTAACGGGATTCCTTCTCGGCAAGATAATGCTAGATCATCTGATTGTACCACATCATTCCATTTGCTTCCGAAAAGAGAATGATAGTAAAGATGAGAATTTAACCTTTTTCGTAAAATACATCAAACATGCTAATGCTAACCATTTTCGAATTCCGGGAAACCAGGGTTTCAAGGAAACTGATATGAGCAATTCAAACTCATACCACACGGAGCCCGAGAGCTGACGAAATTATTATTATTATTATCATCATCATCAACAACAACAACAACAACAAATACTCACCCTGCTGACCAGCCACCTTGGGGGTGACGCGAAGTGGCCCATAGTTGATCAGCTTGGTCTCCGCGGAACGCATCTCACGCAACAGTCTGGCCTCAGTTTGGTGCTCGGACGCACCCGGGGGAACATGAAGCAAATCGGCAAAATGAGCCAATTTTTCTGCG